TATGATTATTTTCTCTCAAGGCCTGGTATAGCAGATAAGTAGCAACAATTTTTTCCATTTTATTTATTTATTTATTCATTTATTTATCACAGAATCACTGGGGGATACAGTTGCAAAGTTGTTCATGACTGGGTTTCAGTCTTAGGATGTTTCAATACCCATCCCTTCACCAGTGTTCGTTTCTCGTAACCAAAGACCCTAGTTTCCCCTCCCGCCACCACGCACCCATCCCTCACCACTACCTCAGCCTGCCACTATGGCAGGCACTTTTCTTCTTTCTTTCTCTCTTTTTTTCCTTCTGGATCTTATTGTTTGCAATATAGATACTTACAGGTTGTCATGTATATCTCTTTACCTACTTTGAACCCTCAATTCTTGTTCAGAGTGATCATTTCCAGCTATGACTATCATAGTGGTCCTTTCTCTATCCTAACTGGTCCCCTCTGTTTGCAGCACGCTTCTGACAGTGGACTAGTCTTCTGGGCTCTTGTTTCTACTGTCCTTGGATATTAGTCTCATACTATTTAAAAAAATATATATATATATATCCCACTGGTTAGTGAAATCATTCTATGTCTGTTCCTTTCCTTCTGATTCATTTCACTCAGCATGATTCTCTCCATGTTCATCCATTTATAAGTAAATCTCATCACTTAATTTTTTCTGGTGGCTGCATAATATTCCATTGTGTACTTGTACCATACTTTCTTTATCCAGTCGTCTGTTCTTGGGAACTTGGGTTTTGTGATATGGAAGCTTTATTTCTAGTTTCTTGAGTAAGAAACATATTGTTTTCCAAAAGGATGGACCAACCACCATTCCCATGAACAATGAATAAGAATCCCATTCTCTTCACACCCACACCAGCACTAGTTGTTCTTGTTCTTTTTGATGTGTGCCAATCTCTGTGGTGTGAGATGATATTTTGTGGTTGTTTTGATTTGCATCTCCCTGATGATTAGCCATGTAGAACATTTTTTCCATGTGTGTTTTGGCCATTTATATTTCCTCTTTGAGGAAGTTTCTGTTCATTTCTTCTCCCTACTTTTTGATGGGGTTGGATTTTTTTTTGGTAAAATTCTACCTGTGCCTCATATATCTTCAATATTAAACCCTTGTCAGGCAGTTATTGGGTAAATTTTTTTCCCATTCTGTGGGCTGTCATTGTATCTTTGTCACCTTTTCTTTTGAGGAGTAGAAACAATTTTCTTTACATTTTGTTTTCTGGGAGTCAAAACTTACTAAAAAGAACATTATCCAAGGTTCCAGCTTATATATTGTGCAATCTGTACAAGTATGTGTGTGTCCATGCACTTATATGTATGCATGTATGTGTGGATAATTTATAAAAACTTCAGAATAAATATTTTAGGAATTTTGATAAAACTTAAACACTGAAGGCCTTTGCTACTTTTTAAGCTTAACTCACAAGTGAGATCAAATAAACAATCATGAATTAGTGGAAGAGCGAAATTGTTCTAGTGGGCTTGGTTGCAAGTTACTGATGGAAAATTGTGGCAGTGTTCTGAGAAAACTTCTCTCAACATTATCAGCTTTCCCTAATGGACCATAGGTTTGCCCAACCTAGAATTGAATAACTACTTATAAGTAGTTACAACAGTGGTTTAAATTTTTTTTAAAAAGATCAAAATAATTTTCTTTTAGGGAAAGATTTTCGATAAATTAGGCCTTGACATCTTGGTAAATGTTAAAATATCTCATGGCACTTTAATAGGAGTTGAGATTTTTCTTGTCCCCATTTTGCTGTCCAAATATTTGGATACTTGGCAGAAAACCTTGGGAAAACTAAAATCCCACATCTCAATGCGCATTACTCATCCTACTTTAAAATAGTCATACAAAGAAGAAACATTTTAAGAGGCTATTGCTACTGTTGTTTTCTATATAAGTAACATTTGGTTAATTAAAAAAAGTGACAAGACTGGGCAGCATTATTTAAATGTGTTTATTTAAATCAAATAAAGTGAAATATAGATTAACTTCCAATGTCACACATAATTTTTATTATTTATTTATATCATAGTATGCTATTATTTTGTCCTTGTAATAATGTGATAACCATGCTTACTACCATGGTTCTGGATCCTTCCACCTCTAGCCCCCTTATCTCAAGGTCCCCTTGTGAACCCATATATTTCCAGGGTTTTATCTGATTTGCCATGTGTCTCTGTTGTCCTATGTTGGTACTACTCGAAGAGCTCTATAACTCAGAGTTTATTTGTCCACTTATTTCAATCTTTCAATTGTAAGAACATGTCGATCCAATTAGAGTATGGTAAATATGTTATGGTAAATAATGTATGATGACCTTTCTTTTGGAGGATGATGGAAAAGTTCCTAGTAAACTTTAAGTATTAGAAAAAGTCATGGCTGGGGCTGGAGCAATAGCACAGCAGGTAGGGCGTTTGCCTTGCACGCGGCAGACCCAGGTTCAATTCCCAGCACCCCATATGGTCCCCTGGGCACCGCCAGGGGTAATTCCTGAGTGCAGAGCCAGGAGTAACCCCTGTGCATTGCCGGGTGTGACCCAAAAAGCAAAAAAAAAAAAAGAAAAAGTCATGGCTATCCAGAAAAAGGGTGCTTTACAATTTAATCTAATAATATAGTTAATTTTAAAACTTCCCTTCCTTCCTTCCTTCCTTCCTCCTTCCTTCCTTCCTTCCTTCCTTCCTTCCTTCCTTCCTTCCTTCCTTCCTTCCTTCTTCGCCATGCACAAAAGTGCTTAGTGCTTGCTCCTGGCTCTGTGCTCAGAAATCACTCCTGCCAAGGCTCAGAAGACCATATATGGTGTTGGGATTCAACCTGGGTAGGTCCCATGCAAGGCATGTATTTTCCCCATCATATTATCTATATAGCTCCCTATTTTCTTCTTTCTTTGACTACAGATTTATAAATTCTGAATTATGGTCACTTCTATATAAATTACATTATTTTTTTCTCACCAAATTTCCCCTTATACTTTGATATCCAGTTACCCAGTTAAATTTTGTTTTATTCATGATGATAGCTATTTTGTTTGTTTGCTTACTTTGTTTTTTGGACACATAATAGTGCTCGGGATTTACTTCTGGCTCTGTGCTCAAGGATAATTGCTGGCAGAGCTTAGGGAACCATAAGTGGTGGTGGGAATCAAACTGGGCTCTTCCACATGCAAGGCAGATGCCTTGACCTCTGTACAATCTCCTGATGCCTCAATGATAGCTATATTTTGTTTTAATATAGTTTCAAATGTGTTTTTTTATTCCTGTTTTGGTTTGGTTTATGGAGCTTACTTGGCTTCTATGTTCCTTTCCCATACAATTTGCTGTGTTCCTACTGGGGATGTCAATATCTTTGTACCACTGTTTACTGTCATCCCGTTTTTCATCAATTGACTCAAGCGGGTGCCAGTAACGTCTGCATTCATCCCAGCCCTGAGATTTTAGCAGTCTCTCCTTGCTCATCTTTCCCAGCGTTGCTGTATTGAAGGCTCTTTCAGGGTCAGGGGAATGAGACCCTTTATTGTTACTGGTTTTTGGCATATCGAATATGCCATATGTAGCTTGCCAGGCTCTGGGATGTCAATATTATGGAATTTGGAGATGTCCAAATTAGAAACTCTAGGAACTGTAGATTCTGTAGCTGATGAGTTTATATGACAGTGGCTGAGGGATGTGGGTGTGGCTGCAGGGGCTTCTGGAAGTATGATGGTCGGGGGAGGCTGCCTGCTCCCACTCTGAGAAGACCCCAGTTCTCAGCCTGAAAACCGGTGTACCTGAAATTGTTGTCAGTTTGATGTTTCTGCAGAGATCAGTTGAGAAGCAGTGGAGCTGGTCCCTTGGGGTGGCAGCAGCCGTGGGGTGTGGGAACGACTGACAGGGTTTCAGCAGGGTGAGGACTTGGCTTGCCACCCTCCGGTGAGTGCTCTAGATTTTTCAGTAGAAAGACTGACGTACCCATAAAGTTTGGCGGCTTGGCTTGCAGCCCTTTAGAGATTTAACCATGAATCTGTAAAGCTGAGCCTCTAGATGTGTTACCAAGTGTCTCAAGTGTTTCACGAGATATATAAAATATTTCCAACTACTTAACTGAAAGGAAAATTTAACCAAGAATCCCATGTTTCAATTTGTTAACTCTATAACCCCATGACTTAATTAAGTCCCGAGTTTTATTTTGCTCTACCTTATAGACCTCATATATACTGTCTCAAAGCGCTGGTCCACATTGGCTTCGTTACTTGTCTTCAGTGACTTTAACTGCTTTATTTTCAGTTTTCTCAAAAAATTATTGTGTTCTCCAAAAGGGAATGCCCTGCCACAGAGACAGGGTGGGATGGGGGGGATGGGGGTTGGGAGGGATACTGGGATCCGTGGTGGTGAGAAATGGGCACTGGTGAAGGGATGGGTGTTATTTTTTTAATTTTTATTAGTGAGACATCATGAGGTACAGTTGTAGACTTACAAATTTATGTACTTGGGTTTCAATTATACAATGATCAAATACCCATCCCTCCACCAGTGCCTCTGTGGCAGGGCATTCCCTTTCGTTCTCTCTCTCTTATTGGGTGTTGTGGTTTGCAAAAGAGGCAATGGTTGCATTCATCTGGGGAACATAAAGTAACAAAATAGGAGATTAACACCCAAGAATGGCCGAGATTATTACCAGGGATGGGTATTTGATCATTGTATAATTGAAACCGAAGCACAAAAATTTGTAAGTCTACAACTATACCTCATGGTGTCTCACTAATAAAAATTAAAAAAAAAAATCATTGTGTTCTCCAAAAGGGAATGCCCTGCCATAGAGGCAGGGGAGGGGGTAGGGGTAGGGGGAGGGGATACTGAGATCATTGGTGGTGGAGAATGGGCACTGGTGGAGGTATGGGTAACCGATCATTATATGACTAAAACGCAAAAACGAATGTTAGTAGTATGTAGCAGTATCTCACGGTGATTCACTAATAAATTTTTTTTAAAAATCATTGTGTTCTCTGTTTTCAGGACTGCAGCTCCATCCCATGTGAAAAGCAGTGTTTAAGATGAAGATCTTCCAGGGCAGGATGCAGCACTGGCTGATTCCAGCTTTTTTGACAATTGCTCACTTTTGTACCATTGTCCAGAGTCAAGGTAATGGAACATTCTGTGCTCATTGTTAAGCTCCTGGGACTCTAGCATCTTGGTTCTCAAAGCATTGGTTCAGCTGTATTTCTAAGCGGGACCATGTTGGCTTTTTAACTCTGTTTTACCAACTGTTTATACTGTAAAAAATTGCCACACTTTGATGAGGGTGACGATTTCACTAGTCATTGAAACTTTTTTATGCTAATAGGCTTAATAGTTCATTCTTAATGGGATTCTGAAAAGGCTGTAAAAATCTATTCAGTGAAAGTCTACTTGCACGTTATAAAATAAGTTATGTTAACGTGGAGCTACAGTGTGTTTGTGTGTATCCCAATTATGCCCTCTCTCTTCCTGTATAGAGGGGCATCGCTCCTGGTGATTCTCAGCTTGAAGATACAGGTCTGAAGTGTTCAGTCCAGCAGTGCTGTGCTGGGGGGGGGGGGGGGACCAGGATCACCACAGTGTTTGTGGGAGGCCATGAGGGCAACATTTAGACCTGGAAATGCTGGGGGATGCACATGATGCTGGGGACTGAACTTGGGAACTAGAATGTGCACTCTAGTTTGAGCTGTCTTCACTGTACCCCACACCCCCTCTCTCAGAGTGTCAATGAGAGATAAGCATCATGTCATGCATGTTTCTTCATTGTACTCTCTCTCTTTCTTTCTTTCTTTCTTTCTTTCTTTCTTTCTTTCTTTCTTTCTTTCTTTCTTTCTTTCTTCACATCCGGTGATGCACAGGGGTTACTCCTGGCTCTGCACTCAGGAATTACTCCTGGCGGTGCTTGGGGAACCATATGGAGTGCTCAGGGTACCACATGGGATGCTGGGAATTGAACCTGGGTTATCCGCGTGCCAGGCAAATGCTTTACCCGCTGTGTTATTGCTCCAGCCCCTGTACTGCTTTCTTTAAAAGCTGATTAGTCTCAAGATTGCCAAGAACTAACAAGTTTTTAACCTTTTTAAAACATTTCCAATGATTTCTAGCTTTGTTTAGTTGAACTTTGGATAATACTGGAATATGTATTTATATTTTTATTTCTCTTCATTTTTTAAAAGTATATTATGGGTTAGCAAAGTATGGGTCAAATTTGGCTACTGACTTTTCTTGTAAATAAAGATTTATTGAACATAGCCAGACCGATTTTTTTTAACATATCATCTGTTTTCATTTTGTAGTGGTAGAGTTTTATAGCTGGCATAGACTGTATAATCCATAAAATTTGAATGTTTGCTATCTGGCCCTTTGCAGAAAAAAATGTGCTAATCTCTGAAGTAAGTGCACTATATGAAGTTGCATGCAAGGTGACACTACTGAACAAACATGGCAATGTCATAGAATGGAAGGAAATATTAGTACTGAAATCATTTTTCATTATCTGAGCAAGGAAGTCTAAATGTGGGAAGACAGTTGCTTCAAAAGTGGTTTTAGGTTGTAATGTCTAATGTTTGGATTTGAAACATTAGATGCAAGAACCCCTATAATCTTATTTCTTAAATTTAGGCAGACTTGTTTGCAATTAAATGCAACTGGACCTTGAAAATAATGCTAAAATACTTAAGTTTATTATATTTCTACTTACTTCATGGAACACCTTGAGTACAGACAATTCTGACAAAAGAATGCATTTAGCAGAGGCAATTAGAGAAGTGATAATGGTACTCTTTGATAATTCCCCCTGTGAGCTTAGAAACTTCCAACAAGGCACAGGTCCTTAGGAATAAATGGTGAGAAAGTCACAAAACCCTTCATATTTTGCCATTTCAGGCTAACTTGATTCAAAAATGGACATGCAGGGCGTAACTTATCATGTGAATTCTCTGGGATATTATCAGGAATTCTGCTTACCAGATAAACATTGTTAGCAAAATTCAGTTTTAAATGAACTGGGATAGCAATATTGAAGTGACTCATATTTAGGAATCACATGAATTTTAGCCATAAGACTTGATAAAGTAAGGGGGATTACTAGAATATTACATTTAATTCACCCAGGAATTAACCATTCAGGGCCTAAAGTGAGTAAAAGATGAGAAAGAATGACTCCAAGAAGCATTGAAAAAGGTAAAGACGACAGAATTTGTTTACTAATTAGATATGGAGGTAGAAAAAATGGAGAAAACATCAAAGGTTACTACGAGGTTTTATTGCAAAAGAACTGAGTAAACGGGGCCTTAGTTTCAGATTTTGCCATTTCAGGCTAAAATTTAGCCTTAATTTCAATTCCTGTATTATTGTTTCATTATTTTTTGTTGTAATTATTTGTTTATCTAAACACTGAAGATAATGGTTTCCTTATTCTTATCTGTTTGTTTTTTGCAGAGCAATGACTTAGTCATAGGAGACATTTGTTGAAGGATTAATAAGAGAATAACATGAATATAGAATTCAGTCTTAGCTGACTGTGTAGAACTTGAAGGTGTTTATGGAGCAAGAAGTGATGCCTGGTACCTAGTTTGTTATCTATAGCTTAAAAGAGAGATCAGGACAAAAGATTATATCTGGATTATTTTGTGCTTGGGAATTTGCTTTAGGAGCAAATTTACTGGATTTTGGGGTATGAGTTGTAGAATTAGGAAGGGTATCCCTGTGGATAGAAGTGAGCATGAAGTCTGGTAGAAAACTGTTAAAGTTAAATGAATAAAAAGGGTCACAAAAGCAATTTAAGGGCAGTCAGAAGATTGTGGTGGTCTGGGAGTGAAGGATGTAGACTTTCAAGAAGGAAGACAATGGCGCCGGGTGGGGGGGGGGGGGGTCGGGTCACATGCTGGACAAAATTCCAGGCAGAAAAGGCTTCAGATGTCATTGGCTTTGGCTTGTTTGAGAGTACATGAGACTGTTGGAGATCTGAATTCTGTGTCTTCCATGACACCATTTATTTACATGATAACTGGGCAAAGAATGAGTAATATGGATGCTTTCTTGGATTGGGTTTCAACTTTAAAAGCAAACATACCAGAGAATCCTGCAGGTTGGCCAATTTGACACCAAGTTTCAAAGCCACATGTGATCATGTTTACTAGGCAATAAAGAACCTTGCCAATGCGGGCTATGCTGACTTGCTGGATGATGATAAGGATTCTCAACCTTTCTATTGTCATGGTAAAGGTAAAGGTAAAGGCCCTCCCGTTGATCGTCGATTTGCTCGAGCGGGCCCAGTAACGTCTCCACTGGAGACTTTGTTGTTACTGTGTCTGGCATATCGAATACTCTCGGTAGCTTGCCGGGCTCTCCGAGAGGGGCAGAGGAATCGAACTCGGGTCGGCCATGTTGGCCGCTTGTAAGGCAAACGCCCTACCCGCTGTGCTATCGCTCCAGCCCCTATTGTCATGACATCTTTGAAATCATGCTTATGCACAAATTAAATAAGAAATTCTGGTAGGTAGAAAAATCTAACCACAAGGGTGTTCATATTCCTACTTCCAGAATTCATCAGTGTATTAGATGGCAATAGGGACTCAAGATGTCACATGGAATGAAGATTTTCAATCTCCTGACCTTAAAATTGGACAGAATTCAGGAGGAAGGCAGAATGGCGCATCAGAGTGATGCCAAGTCGGGAAGAATGATCAATCCTTTTGGTACTGAAGATATTAGGAAGCCACAAGTGAAGGACTGTGGAAACTTAAGTTTTTCCTAGCTCAAAAATGGAAGAAAATAGATTCTCCCTCAGATCCTCACAAATAAAATCTACCTTTTCAATCTTCTAATCCCTAGTCTTGTTAGAAAATACTATTTTGGTTTTTTGTTTGTTTGTTTGTTTGTTTTGACACACCCAGCAGTGCTCAGGTCTTACTCCTGGCTCTGCACTCATGGATCACTCCTGGCTGAACTCAAGAGAGTATGTGGGGAATCAGGGATTGAACCCACTTATCTGAAGCATGCAAGATAAGTGTCTATCCACTGAACCATCACTCCAGCCCCAAATTTTACTGTGTTTTAAACCACAAAATTTGGACTCACTAGTTAACTTGCCCTAGGAAATGAATAGAGTTGGTATTAAAAGGCAGAAGGAAACTTCACTTTTGATTAACCACGAGTCAGCAGAATGAATACCCCTTCCCCTTCATTTTGGCTGGATTTAGAGGAGCTTTCATTTAAAAGGAGGGAAAGAAGGGAAAAGGGCAGGAAGACTCCTTAAGCGAAATGCCCCAGAATGCACTTTCCCAAGGCGTCTCTGCATGTAATTCCCCATGAAGAATTTACCCTGCCCAGAGGAAGTCACATTAATCCCAAACCTTGTTTCTATCTGGGTTATTCCAGCATCTTCTTCCTAAGGCAAGTTGTTAAGCTAAGCAGAGCACAGAAAAAGCAATGTGTTGGCTGTAGGGAGAAATGTGTATAGCATGACAGAATAAATCATCCATACTTCCTCAGAGTTTCAGTCATTCTGTACTTGGTTGTAGCAGTGTTTGTGTTGAGTGGTTAGAAGGAACCACTGAAGGTAAAGCAACTGTCATTTAAAAACTTCAAAGCATGTAAAATTGGAGACTTTGCATTGGTGCTAGATTTAGCTTTATAAAGATCTCTGTGTTAATATCTTGACACTTTTTGGGGAGGGTCAGTTATTAGCATTCAGCCATGTTTAGAAGTGGAGAATATTTTTCTTACTGCTGTTTTCAATGTCTTTATAATGAATCACAAAATTATCACATTAGGTTTGGTGCAAGATAAAAAAGAACTCAACACATCCCACAGTAATTTCTCAATTTTTAGTTTATCCTATTTATAAAACATTTGGCCTACCTATTTAAATAAAATGATGAGATAAAAAACCAAGATTCTTTGCTTTTTTGAAAGATAAGGTAGAAAAAGAAGCCAAATTCTTCCCTGCTGTTTAAAAGATATTTTATGTAATAAGTATAATTGGCTGCTCCATGCTTTTGTGCTTATCTAAGCTATGTTTTGAAGGGAAAATAACTGCCAGGGCCGGAGCTAGAGTGATAGCACAGCGGGTAGGGTGTTTGCCTTGTACGTGGCCAACCCGGGTTCGATTCCCAGCATCT